GACAGCTCTTTTTCAGTTAATCTGATGAGTGTTTCTCATGTAGGTTGTACAATACTGAACTCCACCAGTATTTTAATGCAGGATCATGATTGAATACATAAAAACAGGTTGCCTGTCTAATGGACATGGTGTGTTGTAGCCCTGGTATGAGGGCTTTCTTGCTTTCCTTTCCTTTATTCTGCAAAAGCTTTTATTGTTTTGATGATCTGACCCACTTTCAGAAAGCACCTTTTAAATCTAAGTCTATTGTCCTTACATAGGCACAGTTGAGCTCTAATAGCTCCCTGCATAATGCACATTGGAATAGACAAAATGCAAACAGTTGCATCTTCTGTCGGTTCTTAGACACATCATGTGTTTCTAGCTCTACATGGACTGAGGTTTTTGCAGTCATGTTCTTAAACAAAAATACCATTAACCTCTCTTACTGCAGGTTATAAAACCACTCTGAGCAACTTACCTCCTGTATCCTCAGAGGCCTTTGCAGTTCTGACATAACCTACAACACCTTTGGGAGCTGATCTAAGGCACATTAATATTCCTCACAACCCTGGAGTGCATCTCAGTGGCCAACAGTGGAACCATTTTTCAAATGAGGAGAAAGGGTTGATTTTTTTCCTGCGTATTCACCTCTAAGAAGCTGTTTAGAGACAATAATACACTGAGACAAGGTTTTGACAATTTCGTGGAGGTTTCTTGCTCTGGAGGCAGAAATAATCTTATTGGTTCAATTAATAATACATAGGTAGAGCCAAACTATCAGTTTGTGAACTCAAAGCACAAAGCTTTACTGAAAAAAGTAAAAAATGTAAATTTCTGTCATCATTCATGGCCACAGCACTCACAATCTTGGAAGGTCATCAGGCTTGTTAACTATCTGGATCAGCATTTGGCTGCAGCCTAGTGTAGATTGAGTGTGACTGAGATGTTAAAGGCAAAAAGGCAGACTCACTAAATCAGGCGAGAACTGACTTTGACTTTGCTTACCACTGCCTGTGAGTCTCTGAAGACACTGCCAGTTGTGGAGAATTAAGAGGCATATAAGTTAATGTTCTATAATACAGTCAGTTTCAAATATACTGTATAATAGAGTTAATGATATGAGGGGGAAACTACAGAGTTCTACATTTTATACTCTAAATCTAATTAAAGGTGTAAATTATGTATAACTTTTGTCATTTAATTTGTTTCTTTCCGTTCAAAGTTGCTTCTTTTTTATGCAAAACTATTGCAACACTTTTCAAATGCACTTTAGTAGTCCTACAGTCTGAGTCACCCTCATTTAACTAAGTAGCTTGAATCCCGAGCAGAGATCTCTGCTGTGAGAACTCAGTTTTGGCATTTGGTTTTGAGATGTGGATTTGTTTCCTCTTGTTGAAGGTTCTTGTGAAGTCTAGTAGAAGTAGGAATGGAGAAGAGAAACAATGCCTCCAATGCACACTATCGCCTTTATTTCACCAACCACACTGTGCCGTGATAGGCATTTCCCATTGGAATATAAAGCTTTGTTTCTTAATGCAAACATTCATGGTGGCACAAATGTTGACCTGGTTTAGACCTTTGGCTTTAGTATGTTACAGATTTGTTGTATTTACAGCAGACACCTGAAACAAGCCCGGATTTTTTGCAGCCCAATATGAGAACACTGCACATTTCATTCAGGGGTCCAGATCATTTTGGTGGAGAGCCACATCCTGCTCATGAGCCATGACATGTTTGCCAACCCCTACTGTCCTCTCCTACCTGCTGCTGGCTTGTTCACTGGACTAAAGCCTAATGTAACTGGCCCAGAGAAGTGTGGTTCCAAAATATGCGGTTCAATGAGATTATTTTTGCTCCCGCGGCACTTCAACCTCCAAGAAAAGAAAAAGGTCCAATCTGCTCTATACTTCATGTCAAATTTACTCTTTACGTTATATGGTTACAGTTTGAGTAAAAAGTGTATAGATAAACATCTCTGTGTTTATATTTTGTTGTGACAACCTTGTAAATATGTAGTTTGCATGACTTAACTAAGGTTACTTTTAGCTGCCTGGAAGACCCTTGTATTTGTAGTGATTTCACTTGCGAGTAATGAGCGTGTAACATTGTGCACTCTATCTTACACACTATAAAAACACCACAAAACGCTGTGACCTTCTTGCTGGAAGCCGGAGGAACTTCTTTAGTGGCATATGGAGAAAGGTGTGTGGGAGGAGAGTGACAAGAGGTTGGTCGGACCATGCTGTGAATTGTGACTCCATTTCCCAGGGGGTTTTGCAACAACAGCTCAAAAAGCCACTAGCCACTTAGCCGATGGCATGGAGAGGGCTGAGACGATTTGGCCAGAGGTCACAGGAGCTGATTGGCTGGTTTGTGGAATCATGGTGGATGTGGGGGTGCAGGTGTTTGTTGATCGGATGACTCTGGTGCACAGGAGGATTGTGGGTAGATGGATATGTCAGAGAGTTGAAGCCCACCCCTTTTTAATTGTGATGCCTGTCGTAGGGAGGGCGGTGATGTGTGAAGGTGGATCAAACCCTGATTGTCTTTCGTTTGGCCTTCCCTACAACGTTGACTCTGCTAAATCAAGCCCTCCTAGAAAACCTCCGAATATCTGAATGGAAGCACATTACCAGGTACCATGTTGGATCAACTTTTACTGTTGAAACTTACCTCATAACAGTGTATCTACTGCATTATCCAAAGCTTTCAAAGCATTGCTTTTGGTGCTGACTTTACAAACAAATGTGTGAGGGCTTACTCCTTAAGACTAAAGATGTTAATTTGCTTCAATGGTTTATTTTACCCATAACCATGTACAAATAAACAAAACCTTTACAGCTTTGTATGGTCACACATTTAGCATTCATTGGTCCATAAGCACTCCTCACGGCGACATGAAAACACTGTTATAAGACACCGACATTGATTTCTAGTATCGGTGTCTCAACGTTGCACTGACGTCACAAATGTACCATCCATTCTAACAGTTTCATTGCAAATCAAAATAGTCACATGCAATGATTGAAAAAAATTACATTACCTCATGTCACATAGAAAGTAAGCGAAAAGTTCCATCATTTAGAAATAAGTACTCTTCAGAGATTTGTCTTTCTCTCTTTTTTTTTTTTTTTTAAGTCCTAGACATTCTTTCAACAGCGTTGTTGGTCTCATTTGGGTTGTAAACATTAGTTACAGTGCCTAGCTTCATTCACCTGACTGGCTGCGTAGCATCTCTCAAGAGAATTGGTCAATCAATACTATCAATCAACTGAACGAGAGGAATTGGTCAGTAGTCAATCAATTGTACAAGGAATTTGTCATGGAAGGACATGATCGTCTTTGGGCTCAGTTAGGGGCAACAGGACACCAGTGAGAGACTGGAGAACAGACTGAACAGTAGATTAATATAAGACACCCTGAGAATCACAACTACGTCTCTTTCATCTGTCATCCCTTCTTCCTATCCTCTCTCTTCCTCTATCTCTTCTTCTATGGAACGATCAAAGTCAGGTGGGCGTGGCCTCGGTGGTTGAGGAAGATGGTTGGTAGGTTGGTTTGTTGTGGCGGAAGCCGGTTGCCGCGCAACTGGCTCCTTGGTGGTTGGCATGGAGACAGGTTAAGGTGGAATCTGACCTGGTAAGGTAGTATGCAGCACGTACAGTAGTATGAACAGTAGAATGTAATATGCAGCTCTGGGGAAAAATACATGGATTTAAAATGGTTTAAAATCATGCTGATGAAAATGAACAGAACAAGTGCTCCTAATGCAGATTAAAGGGCCAGTTCATAAAAAAATCTCACACTTAAATCTAGTAGTATCTAACTATGCAGATAGCATTTGTTTTGAGATGACTGTCTCTAAGATTTCTGTCCCCCTTCTTTAAAAAAAGGATTTTGTTTTTGGTGCACAAAATATTTTAAAGTTTTCATCGGACCTGCTTTCTGCAGACAAAATAGTCCCAATAAAAACTTCTTGGTGAGGTCTGTGGTTTACCCAGAACAACGGGTAAATAAGGGTTACTGTTGATTTTTTAAATGTAAGTTTTCAAATCTTTGGGCACCACAAACTAAATTCCATTTACCGCCATTGTTTTGGGGTGGAGGTAGAAGTTTTAGAGACAAATATCTCAAAACGTGAACAAACACTTTTATTTTTGGATGAACGGACCCTTTAGAAACTACTTGAGGTATACTTGCTTTTTAGAGCAACTTAAAGACCCACACTCCATAATTTCCAAGGTGAAAACACCACAAGTTAGCAAGACAAAACCAAGTGCACCTCAAGTATGAACACTTGAATGTCCATTCTAGATGAGTATTGATCCCCAGATCTGTCAGCATGTAACAGTAGATTGTGACAGTAGTATGTTATCGATGGAGAACATCACATGGGGCTGACGTGGTGTGCAGCAAAGGATGGCGCAGGGGAAGGCGGTAGTGGTGGACAGTGATTGGTTGATTTGGTTGGTCAGGTGACTGAGGGGGTTATGGACAGTCGAGTTGAGTCAGATCACATGATGAGGGTTTGCAGCTATAACGTCAGGAGGTTCCATCGGGAGGTATGGAAGCCTGACAGGTTTTAGCTTTTGGTGGACACTGGACAGAACACCCACCCTGAACCCCACCCTCACAGAGCCAGCGAGCACACACACTCACACACACACTCACACACACACACACACACGCACACACACACACACACACACACACACACACACAGAAACAGACATGCACTCACTCACAAGTCAACAGACAGACACACTAACACACACACATTTACCCACATTTACCATATTTTGCATAGACACACACAAATAGACACACAGGTTTGTTAACTTACACTCACGCGCACATTCATGACAAACACACATCTGCTCCCACATTTCACACAAACCCACGTACACACTCCATGACTCACACAAACACACACTCTTGCCCACCCCCAGACTTGCGATGTGTTACTGTGATGATGCAGAGTGTGGTGGAAGGTGAAGAATAAGACAACGGAAGACAGGTGATGCTAAAATGAACATTTATAATGACTGCTGTTGCTGTCGCAAAATAAGAATCCTTAAAAAAAGACCTCATATATATTAGCACTAGATTGCCCACTTCACTGGTAATCCACAAGTCAAGAAACACAACTCACTAGGTTTTTTTTCTCTTTACAAACACAATGCTACAATTACATTAAATATTCAATACTCTTTAAGTCAGTTAATGAATGTTGTTAAAAGCAACCACTAAAATACTAAAAATAAAAACAAAACAATACTAATATTAATTCACCTTTTTCCAGTCGTTCCCTTTTTCTTGTTGCGTTGTTATTTATTAATAGTATAATAATAATAATAGTCTGAGAAATAAATAGCTCATGTGGTGTTCTCAGGGCAATGGGGCAGGCAGCATAAATCAAGAGTGGAGCTCAGAGCAATGCGATGAAATGGTGGAGTCTAATCTCACGCAGTCACGTTAATACTTTCAAAATGTCTCTGATGTACAGGCGGAATATGGAGATATGCCACAAGTTTGGTTCTGCAGGCAGCAGGATGGTTGAGCGGCACCTGCAGAGGTTAATCATCTCTAAACTATCATTCTATGTTATGTAAACTAGGACTGTATTGCACAAAAGTTAGCAGCTCAGCTTCCTCGTTTTGTAGCCCGGGAGGAGCTTAGTTTCTTTTTAAACTTTTTCGTTTTTTCTACACACCTCCCTGGGTTTTTTTTTCCAACCTGGAGGAGCCGAGTCGAGCCGTTTTCCACGATGATATGTCTCTAACACGACCAAGCAATTTCAATAACTATGGCTTGATGATAAAAGATACTAGCGCCACTACAACTCACTGTTAGGAAAACATCAACAAATGTACAAAAACAAGCCTACGTTGAGAATGGCTCGGACTACTTCTCAAGGTTAGTATTATTATTCGATGAGCACAGGTATCTAAAGAGTTTGCTAGCCAACATGGAAGCTAAACAGCGAATACAGTAGGTAAATCAACACTAATAACAACAGCACAGGTTAACACAGTAGAACTAGCATAGCCGATTATACAGGCAGACCTAACTATCGGATACAGAGGATGAAGAGTGTAATGATCGTCTACCGCGTCCACTAGTACCTCTTTATGCTGCCGGCCCCTTTCTGCTCAACACTTCTCTCTTTACAGCTCGGCAAAAATCTGACAAAAATATTTACAATGAGAGAGAAAAAAAATGAAATTGTGGAGAAACAGTTGTTTAGTGTTTTTTTTTTTTTTTTTGTTTGTCTGCATTTCTTTTTTTTTTTTTGGATGTTTTTTTTGCTTCCTTTCATATGTTGTTTTTTTTTTTTTTTGTTCTTTTTCGACTTATATCTCAGAGAATTGTCCCCAATGATGAGCAACAAACAAACAAACAAAAAAATCCAATCATATCAGCTAGCATTGCACAGTCTCAGAGAGGTTTTGGGGATGGAATGGAGAGTTATCGTCCAAACAGTTGGATGAACACAGAAGGGGGGTAGGAGGAGGAGGAAGAAGGTCAATAAAGTTCATGAGGGGGTGAAAGTTCAAAAAGTTCAAGAAGACAGAGGATGGCTGCGCAGCTGACGGTGCGTAAACACTCCTCACACCACCGCGCGGGGGCGGTGCGTGTGTCGGCGTGCGTGGTTTGGATGTTAAACAACAACAAAAAAAATCATCATTAGAAAATGGAGTTTTTGAATCTTTCCCATCGAGAAAAATCAAATGGAGCGAGAGCGAGAGAGGGAGGGAGGGAGGGGGGGAGAGAGAGAGAGAGAAAAGGTGGAGGAGGGGGACGGGGGGTAGAAAGAGGGACGGGTGAGGAGAGTGAAAGGTGCCCCCAACACTATGGCACACAATCAATGAAGTCCCACAGGCTGAAGAGATGACAGAATTAGGAAAGCAGCTGGCATGAGCGGTAGGGCTTTTTAGGTAGGTTGAGAGGCAGGACAGTAGGTAGGTAGCCAACCTGCAGAGGGGTTAATCCTTGTCGGGTTTAGCTCTGTGGGGGGTGGTGAGGAGGAGGAGGAGGAGGAGTGGTGGTGGTGGGGGGCAAGGTGCTGTTCAGTTGAGGCGTCATGAGCGACATCATGTTATGAGGGCGGAGCATGCTGGCTTCATGGGTGCTTCCAGGATGGATGTCCGACACACAAGAACAACTCAAAGAAACGCTTGGAATGGTAGTTGTTGTTGTTGTTGTCTTTTTTTTTTTTTTTTTTTTTGTGTTTTTCCTCTCTGTTCTATTTTGGCACTCGAGAGAAGAGACTCGTGGGAGGCGGAGGAGGAAAGTGTGTGTATGTTTGGGCAAGGAGGAGGAGTGGGCAGTGAAAGTGCAAAAAAGAGGGCATGGAAGAAAGTGTGTGTATGTGTATGTGTATGTGTGTGTGTCTGTGTGTGTGTGTGTGTGTGTGTGTGTGTGTGTGTGTGTGGGACGGGTAAACAGGCTACACACAGAAATGGCATTTTGTTAAAACTGGTCTAGGTTAGACAGAGCATACAGTACAAATCAAAACCAGGAAAAAAATCAACAGAGAACGAGAAGAAGGAACAGAAAAACAGTGATATGACAAATGCAGTCTACAGTTGCTGGTGCTTCAATGGGGCCCGAGTTGGGGGAGGAAGTGGGGGTGGAAAAGGGGAGGAGCGGGGGTCCCATAATATGTTGTAGAGGGTGTTTTGAAGAGGTGGGAGGGTCAGTGGTGGGTGTGGGTGAGAGTGGGTTTGAGTTGGTGAAGGTGGGTGGGGGGCGGTGGCGGTGGTAGGGGGAGGGGCAAAATAAAACAAGATCTGAGGACTATGTCGAAGAGCCACACCCACTGAGAAGCGATGAGGTCACCTGGCGAGCAGGTGAGAGTTAAGTTTGCATTCCTCTACACATCACAATAAAAAATAAAAAAAACATGACTAGCCGGCTACGTCGCAACACAGACACCACGAGCACGGAGCTGGCCTAAAGCAGACAAACTCAGAGAGAGGGAGAGAGAGGAGCATGCACATCTAAATACACTGCTGAATAAACACCTACAGTAAGGCTACACATCTACAGTAGTCTCGCACACTGACCCCCACCTCAGCTCGGCCTGCCATGCACAATAACAGCAGAAAGTTTAGTGCAAACATGTCGCTAGGAGCAGAAATGGAAATTTTGACTTTTTTTTTTTTTTTTGGGGGGGGTTTGTAGGAAGCGGGCCATTTCCCATGACAACATCTGTCAGGATACAAAACATGACCACACTGAAAATACTGTGGTTTCTGGTTGCATAATAAAGAATGAGAGAGTGAGAGAGGTGGACAGACTTTGGCAAATTTTTTTTTTTTTTTTTTTGTGTTTGACACTGAAGCCGATAAAGCATCTAATTGAACTGAACTAGGAGGAAAAGAGAGAGCGATTGAGAGAAAGAAAGAGAGGGCAGGATCGGGATTCAAAACATCACCACTTGAAAAACACACTGGCAATGTTCAGCGTTGTTTCTCTCGCCGAGATCAGAGCCTTGGATTGCATATTAAGGGAGTGAAAACACAATCTGTCCCAAATTCTGCAGTGAGGCACCCGAGGGAGGCCGAGAGTGCAGCAGACAGACTTGTTGTGTGTGTGTGTTTTTTGGGATTTGTAGGTGAGGGAGGGGGATTTTTTTTTTTTTTTTTTTTACCTCTCTTTCTCATGCACTCTCTGTTTACAAATCTCTCCCAGCCCCGCTTAACACACACTGGGCGGGGCCGGAGATGCTCCATGTCATATTTGAGGTCAATAAGGTGCATATCAATGACAAGACAAGCCAGAGCTCAGAGCGTGGAGGGGGGGTAAAAGGACAGACAACAGAGTTATACTGAGAGTTCGACACAGTGCGCCGAGGGTTAGTAATGTTAAAGTACAAAAACACACAAAACACACATAAGCCTCTACTGCACGTCAATGGTCAGAGGAGTGATATGCAAACTTATGCAGAGGTGAGTACATTCATGGACAATCTCAGTCTTTATTTAAAATGAAATCCTGATTTTTTCTTTTTCTAAAGTTAGGCAGCAACTGAGAAATTTTAAAGTACAAGCTCGCTCAGCAAGTAGCAAAATAGTCTTAGGTTTGTTCGAGAGTTTTATTCGTATCCCTTTCGAGGATAGTTAGATCACTTAACGACAAAATACTTATTCTGTTTTGATGTCGAAATCAAACATTTTGTTCACCTTTGGCTGGTGGAACAGGACTCAACACGGTCGCTTGGAAAAACAACGAACATTTGAACGCGTGTAAAACAATATCAAAATGCTCTACCCTTATCGGCATGCAAAGATTTGTCTCTGAAAAATGAATGACACACACTGCCTAATGTTTTTTTTCGCCACTTCTTTTTTGTTTCTTTGATTTTTTTCCTTTTTTTTTTGTCCACGCTTCACTTTGATATCATGCAATATAGACGTGCAAAAAGATAACATCTAGTTCCACAAAATACATTTTCATTGTAACTATAAAAGGCTGTATTTAAGAATGCTATCAAGTCACATTTTTTTTAGCATAATTATGCTAACCTATCACTATATTGATTTGTCTAGCCCCAGAGTCATAGTGCTGTTGCATTCTGGGACGGGTAGTTCCCAGAGGACTGGCTAACACTTGGCTAACATGGCGGTCCCTCCTCTTGTGGCAGGAACAGAGAGGGCTTAAACAAACAGCTATACTGAGGCGTTTTGACCGTTAGTCTACCTAGTTCTTATAAACCGTCACGAGGACTACTCCTGTCCTATGTAAATTATAAATATGGTTCATTTGGCACTTTTCACATTTTCTTAATATAAAAGTATGTCTCCTCTTATCTAATGTGGTTTAAATCAACACATTTACAGTTTCACTCTGTGAAGACCTATTTTGGCACAGGTTTAACTTGTTCAGGTTAGAATTACACTATTATTAACTTATCATGAGCTTATAACAGAGCGTGTATTACACTGCCACTTGAGACTAGCCTCTCCAGCTAAAGGACAGATTTCGATATGTTTTAACCTTGTATTTTTAGTACATCAGTTATTATTAAATAGCAGCATTTTCCACAAATTAAAAAAATGTACTCGTGTAAACCTATTCAACATCTACAGGTAAATCCAAAAGCTCCTACGGCAGACAGAGGATAAAGAACAGGACAAGACAACATGCCACTACGTGTATTGCTTCCAGTACTCATCACATTTTATCTCGATCCCCTAACATTAAGATAACTAAAGAGATTGGCCGCCGTTGTAAGAGACAAACCAAAAAAGATCTTCCTAAGGTTTAATTAGTGAGATGAAAAAGAAATCCGTCCCGTATTATAATGACTCAGCTTGCGCCTATAACAGGAATTTCAATGCAGTTTTTCCACTGTAAACGTACTGTGCTGCATCCTAAAGGAGGCTAGTGTTGAAACGTGAAGGCTTCCAGGTAAATTACTAAACCTGCTCACTTGTCAAGAATCAGAACTGTTTGGCTTTCCATAGAATACAAAGCAGGTTTGCTCTATTGGAGAAAAAGCTGCAAATACTAATTATTTTCATATCTTTCTGTAATTTTAGTCTTTTTTTTTGTGTAGAAAATGTGGGAAAATAGTGGAAAATGTCTGTCACAAGTTGCAAGAACAGTCTACAACAGTCCGAACACCCAAAATATTCCTTTTACAATGTTTTTGCTTGATAAATGATAAATCAAGCAGGAGTCTACCTTCTCAAACCTGACTTAATGTGCACTAAATCAAATGGAAAATGGGTAACTGACTGCTTACAGCACAGTACAGCTCTACAGTGGAACAAAAGCACACTATCTTCCTCTGGTGTTATGAGGTTTTTGCCACAAAATATCAAACATAAATCCAGTCAAACCCCATTAATGACATAAAATATTCCCTCAAGATATGTGTATGTTTTATGTTTGTGCAGCAAGGTATTCCAAATCAACAACGTTTCTCTTCAGTGTATATTATAAAACGCACTGATCCAAACTACAGATGAGAGTGTTTGTGCACTGTGCCCTGCCAGCCTCAACTATGACTTCCTCTGCAGGTGTGGTCATTTTCTGATGGTGGTGCATCAGGGCGTCTCCGAGCCTCAGCCACCCGAGGAGGCAAAGAGGAGAGAGACTCAATCTGTGGTGTTTGTCAGGGCAAGCAGCAGACATGCATTGATCGTAACACCAGACATAGTCACCCATGGAGCGATGTGGTAGGAGGAGAGGGGGTGTCAGGATGGGAGTGCACTGGAGGACTGAGGACGGGTGGGAGGGAGGGTGAGGAGAGTGTGGATGGTGTTAGATGGGAGTAAAGAAGCCTCCTTACCAAGCTGTGGAGATAAACCCTCACTGGCGCTCCAACAGAGAGTGACACATTCGATAGCACAGTGGAGGATTTTGGGTCGGATTGGGTTTTTTTTTCTTTTCTTTTCTTTTTATCTTAGAGGAGTTCCCTCCCCTCACCAGGCTGTGTAGGTCAATAAATCAAATGCACCCCCCTCCTCATTTTTGGCATTTTACATTCCATCACACTTCGTCTCCTGTTGGACTATCTGTCCAGGGATTTGCCCATTGGATGTACAGAACATTATCAATTTCAACTGTTTATGAAAAAGACACAGCTGCGATAGAAAAGTGAATTTAGAATTTGTTCCAGTCTCTTTAATCTGCTACTGGACACCTAACACTCCCCCAACATCCCACCCTCTAATTACAAAAACACTTTTCCAAGACAACAGGTAAGTAGAATCTAATTGATCTCAACTCTTGACCTCAATTGATTGATCCTCTTCATCGACCTAGTCTCTTTCTCCTCCTTCAGAATTCAGATATGACGTGCATTTCTGGTGAAGTTCTTCATATGCATTCTACATATATTTCATATATGTGTGTTTTTTTTTTCTCCCTGCCATACAAAAGCCATCCAATCACGATGCCGTCTACAGCACACATCCCTGACCTCATAGGCCGAGAGAACCGCTCCCTCGCTTCACAGTGCATTAAGACAAAAATTCAGTGTACTCCGATTGTAAAAAAAAAAACAAAGAAAAAAAAAAAAACACGACACAAACAAAAAAATTAACAACAAAAGAAACAACAGCATCTTCAGCAGCCTTGTGGGTCTACAGTGGGCAGTCAACCTGTTGCCATGGGAGACCTGCAGTTTGCCAGAGGCAGAAACGAGCTCAGCTCCCTGGACGTATGTTGAAAATCTCTCATGTCTGCCCTTTACCTCATCGGCAGTCAGACGGTTGCTTGATAAGGGTAAAGATCAGTGAGGCTGTTTATCTCCTTTACTGATATGCACGCTGCTTTAAAATAGCAAATCTACTAGCGAGGCTTGCAGATTCAGCAGTGGACCCCGGACGAACAATGTTCCCTCGTCATGTTTCAGTGTTTCCTCTCACTCAATGTTTGCATTTCTCAGTAGTACGTTGTGAGTCCTAAGTGCTCTGACTTGATCTAGTCTGTGGTTTGGTTTCATCTAAAGGTTTGGAAGACCACAGGCTGAGCAGTAGCAGTTCACTTGAGAGCTAGTCTCACTTCAACTCAATTATTCATTCCAGTTACAATTTTACATTTTAGGCAAACTGTAACAGGGAAGTTTACTACAGATATAGAACAGCAGGGATATTTTGGAGCATGAGCTAGGATAGCCGAGCATGATAACCAGGCGTTTAAGGTTAATATAGCTGCTAAGACGCTGCACTGCAGCCTGTGGAGTGGTTTACAGATATTTTCTTGCTAATCTAGAGGTCTCACTGCGGTCTGCATTGTAGATATGGTGAATTCCCTTTTCTAGCACCAAATATGGCATCATAGTGTTTTGTTTCAGTGTGTACGTGTGTGTGTGCATGTGTGTGTGCGTTCCCTGTTCTGCTTTTTGACTGGATATATAAGGTGATCCTTCACTGTAATGAACTTAATGCCTGGGGCGGCTTTCATACTGGACTTAAATAAGACATATATTACACTATGTGACATTACTATTCATCTTCAATCCACTTAAATTAAAACAAAAGATTCAAATCAAAAATAGTCTCATTTACATTCATGTCAACCTGAATTCACAGATAAAAAAAAAAAGAAACAACTGAGCTTTCTATGGGTGAACTCATTAATAAATAATGACGATGGTGATGATTCCTATCGTAATAATCATGACAATATCATTAACAGAATTATCACAGCAGACTGCAAAAAATGCCATAGATCCTGTGTGTTTGCCGCAGCTTGCACAGTATCACTCTCGTCGTTTCTAGGTTTCGCACTACGTGAGGTCATCAGCGTGCGCCTCGGCATTCTATCTCAAACACTAGAGCTGCGTATGGGGGGCGCTACGTGCCGTAACACCCCTGTGGCGCTGCACTGCTTGTGGGATACATCACAGGGTATACGGGAGGGGTCGGGTGGGGTGTGCAAATGAAGAAACGCCCAGCTGATTCTCTCCCCCCTTACACCCCTCCCCAATTTCACCTCACCCTTCCTTCATCTCCCAGAAAGGAGGGAGGAGGGGGGAGGTGAGATCATGGGCTGGGGAGAGAATAAAAGGTGTTAGGGGGAGTTCGAGGACGTTTCTCCTCTCACACACCAGGCTGAAGTTTGCAGTCTTGCTCATTATAAAACCCTTATAAAAGGGGGTGGGGGTGGGGACAAGGCAGGGGGGGGCAAGTAGTGAGAGGGGCTTTGGGAGGAGAGGGGGAGGGGGCGAGGGACAAATCAAAACTAGAAGAAAAACAAAAACCCTACAGGAGGGTGATGGGTGTGGGCTGCAGGGAGAGGGAGGGATAAGGGTTGTTTCCATAAGGGATTTTGGGTTGGGGGGGTGGAGGGTTGCACCCTGTAAACACAAACCCTCCCCCCCTCCGCACCCATGCCCTTCCCTCCCTCCCCCCACTTCCTGTAGCCTCTCAGGCAGTCGGCCTGTCTACATGGCATTCAGCTTTGTCCACACAATACACAAACAAACAAACAGACAGCTTAATTTACTAAACAAAACAAAACAATAAAACAAACAATAAAAAATCCCGAAAGGTCAAGACGTTAAGTAATAAAACCTTATTTACATGTTACACATTTTTTTTTCTTGGTTTTTCAGCGTGATAACTCGCTCCTCTCCCTCCTCGTCTTCTCAGCACATTTTTGCTTCGCGTCAAAAAATTTTTTTTTTAATAGAGAATACTGAAAACACGCAGAAGAAAACGGCGCGGACGATTCCTTCTGACATTCTTGCTCTCCTCTCCTTTTTCCATTCTCACTCTCACTTTTTTTATACTCCTCCCCCAAGCCCCCACTCTTTTTTTTTTTCCTCTTTTCCTCCTCGTTTCTCATTGGCTGTCAGGTTTAGCCCACCTTCTGTGGGTTGGTGGCGCGTACCCCCTGCTCGTAGGTGATTCGCTGGCTGATCAGGTACTGTGCAGCCTGTGTGGCGGCCTGGGAACCCGTGATGGTCACCTTCCTGTTCCGAGTTCCAGGGATGAACTCGCCTTTCTTGGAGATCTGGATCCTGGCGCCGGTCAGCTCCTGGTACTCCACTAGCGTCTTCCCGCCTTTCCCCAAGATGGCTCCCACCAGGTTTTCTGGCACGGCGATCTCGACCACTTCCTTTGCTCCTTCTGCTAGCTTCTCCGTGGCCAGTAGAGATGACGCCACCAGTGGCGATGCGGCGCTTAAGTAGCCGTTGGTGGCCCCTGTAGCGGCAGCCAGGGATCCCAGGGAGAAGCCACCGAGACCAGCTGCTGGGTGACCTGCGCTGGTGGATGCATCACTGGCATAGGATGCTAACAAATTAGCTGCGGCGGCTGCTGCTGGGTTAGCATTAGCTGCTACAGCGGCTAACACCCCTGAGGCTGCAGCGGGATTCAGGCCCAACCCAAGGGAGTTGGTGTTGTAGCCGTAGCTGGCCAGAGTGTTGAGGGCCGAGGTGATGGCCAGCAGGTCGTTGCCTGAGAGGCTGGACATGGTTGTCGGGAAGGCCCCGACCCCGGCCAGACTGGCCTGTCCGAGCAGAGAGGAGGCTGTGGCGGCTGCGGCGGCTGCGGCGGCTGGCATGACCTCGGTCGAGTTGGCGTACGGGGAGCCAGTGGGGTTGGAGTTGGCAACGGGCCCTGTGATGTTGGAGTACGAGATGTTGAGGCAGGAGGAGCTCTGTGGGTCTTCCTGGATCTTCTGGACGATGATCTCTACGGCTTTGCGGTTCTGCTCGGGCTCTCCGCTGATGGTGACCACACGTTCCTGCAGGTTGATACCCTCGGGCTTTTGGGATAGCTGGACCCACGCCCCGGACTGCTCCATCACCGCCTTGACTGTAGCTCCGCCTTTACCGATGATCAACCCCGCCGTGCTGTTGGGGACGATCAGCTTGGCCTGGTGGGGCAGAAGAAAAGAGCACAGGTTATTCCTCTGTGACAGATGTTTAATCACAATCAGACAATCTGCTTTAGCTAATACTCCAATATCAGTGTGTACAAGCACCTGTGCATCGCATGAGTTTACCTGAACAGAGAAATACAAGTGAGAGACGTGTTGCTTTATTGATTGGACAATTAAATCAACTAAAGTCATGAAGGGAAGATGTAGAAGAAGGAGCAGAGGCAGGGTAAAGTCAGCCTTTCCACAAAGACATGTTACAGAGAGCCGCTCCTCATGTTTTCTACACTGCGTATGTTCGGTCGCGTATGTCACACCTGCGATGTTACGATTAAACATGCTTGATAACAACCCCCTCTTGAATTCAGAATACGCCGTTCAGTGAGAAAATGAAGAAGAATTATGCGATGGAGATTGGAGATGAAAAATCTTTCCTTTGTCATGCAAAACACAGTAAAGCGGTGCACACATCGTTCGGCTCAAGAGTAGACTGTAAAGGCAAGGTCAGCGCTGAAAAGGACTTTGTCAGAAACTGCTTTTCAGAGGTGTCCTCGAGAAGGACGGGAGCCAAATAAGAGCCAAAGACACAGAGAAAAAAGAGACTGAACCATGTTTGAATACAGAGAGCTCCTGATGTACTGTGTGTGTGTGTGTGTGTGTGTGTGTGTGTGTGTGTGTGTGTGTGTGTGTGTGTCAGCAGTGTAATGACATCCTGAAGGAGAAAGATCTGAGATAGACGAACAACATTATGGATTGTGCAATGACAGCGCTTCCACCACCCCAACACATAAGTAATAGAGTGTTTTTTTTCCCTTTCATTTCTATGGTGCATAACAGAGAGAAAGCAGGAGAAAGAGATAAAGTGCAAGTTGTTGAGAGAACAGTAGACGAAGAGGTAGAGAGAGGTAAATAGAGTGGGAGGGACGGATGGATCAGAGAGAGAGAGAGAGAGAGAGAGAGAGAGAGAGAGAGAGAGAGAGGGAGGAATTCTAAAGAGGCTACTTGTGTGAAAAAAAAAAAATGACTCCCAGGGGTCAGCGTTACCATGGAAACACAGCTCCAGCATTCAAAGGGTAGTGAAAGGGAGTGAGGCGATGACACACACACACACACACACACACACACACACACACACACACACACACACACACACACACAGAGAGACAGACATGTACACACACTTTCCATGTCCATGTTGCAGCACAGTACATTTAATTTCACACCATCATATATAACACCCTATGTAATATTGCTGTATATATTATATATATATGTGTCGGTCAATGAATGGAAATGGTGCATTTAAGTTGATTTTTTTACAGTTATTGGAGAATTGATCCGCAGCACACTGTGGGAGACCATTAACCTTAAGTAAATGTAATGCAGCATTTTCACCCAAGCATGCAATTGGGGTGCAACTAATGATCTAATGTTTTTTATTATTGATTCAACAGCTGATTTATTTATTTTTTTTAATGAAACAATTGATTTTTTAGTCTACAGATGAAAATTTGCCTCTGTGGCTACATCTGGTAGATTTACATAGTAGACTTAAGTCATCATGTGCATTGTCCCTTTTAAATAAATAAACTTAAAAATGTCCATCATCATATAAACCGATACACTTGAAAACACTCAAGAAACTTTTGTTTATTTTGCACAGCTGTCCAATGACAGCTCTCTAAATGAATTCAGTTGAAAACATAAAAAAGATACTTTTGATTTCCAAAATACATTTAAATATGATTATTATTGTGTACACATTTCTCACTTTTTTCATAATTTTACCACTTTCAACTGAAAGATTCAACATCATTTTGCAAGCGTGAAAGCAAACAGCGATCAGCTCAGTTTGGTACCACGAAAGTAATAAAGCGGTCAATAATCAGCAGGAACTTTTCATTTCAAGGAATGGGAGCACTTAGCTTGTCGAATACGCTTGACAAACAATGTGTTGTGAAAAGATTACAACAAAACTCGACTCAATCCAAGAAACTGCAGTTTTGCCCATTGAGGTTGAACCCTAATGTCTGTACCTCCCTCTCCATCACACACTGACTGACTGACTGACTGACTGAATGAACCTGGTGTGTGAAGGGCTCGCTGCTGCTCCGTTGACGTAGGCAGTGAGTGACGCATCACACTGCTGCAGCACTGAGCTCCACGTACTTTGCAAGCAGCACACTGCTGAATGGAATGTGTGAGACTCTGTCAACATTCAACAAAAAAACTTCTGCTGCACCAAAATCTGTTACTTTGCTCTTCAGCTCAAACAAAATGATAATAATTGTTTTTTTGCGATGTGCTTTTTCACAAACAAGGACACCTGCAGGAGATGTTATCGACTTCTGCGGCACATTAGCCGCCCAGCAAATAAACGTGGGTGTGTGCACGAGTGCCGCGCTTTCTCCTCTTAGCATTGATCCCGCTCTAACTACCACCAACAAAACTAGCACCGCTATGTGCTGTCTGTCTGAACGTCGACTATTCACATTGAGAGCAGAAAGAGAGAGTGTGGGCGGGAGAAACAGAAGGAGGGAGGGCTGAAGAGATAAAAAGACTCGGCCTTGATGAAGAAAAGAGGATGGTAAAATGAAGGAGGCAGAGAGATAGAGGGAGGGGGTGATCAATTCAACAAACTGCGAGAAAAGAGGCGGAGGTGTGCTTTTCTTTTCTGTCTTTCAATGCAGAGAGAAATAAAGACACGGGAAAGGAAGTAGGAAAAAGAAAAATCCAAAGAGAGGGGGATCAATTCAACTTACAACAGAAAAAATGCTAAGGCCAGGTCTATTACTTCGCCTGTCGCACCCCTTCTTTCCTCCCTCCCTCCCTCTGTTTGCTGCAGTTCTTAAGCCGAACAACATCTGTGTGGCGATAGCCTCGATGCAGCGGTTTGTTGCCACGCCGCATTCCAGGGCTCGCTCTCTGCACCCGCAGCTTTCTGCGAGGCGCAAGATGAATTTACATAGAAATAGAAAATTAGTAAAAAGGCATGCAGGAGGGAGCTGATAATACGAGCGACTTCAAACCCGCAGACAAGCGTCAAATATTCACTTCTCACTGCTTCCAGTTAAATATTAGAGCATTATCTTTCCCCTGTGAGTGTTTGTTTGTGAGCCGTCTCTCTGTGGGATTAACAGGTGCTTTTTTTCCTTTCCTTCATTCATCTTTTCTCTCAGAACAAGTGGAAGTTTGTAGTCCGCTTCTATTGATTAGTGTTGTTAGTGTGAGGCACGTACACAGCGAGGCACCTTCAACGCGTCTGTTTACGTCCTGCTGCCATCAGAGAGTCTGCTACAATCTGCTGTCCTGTGTAGATTAATGAGCAGAGCAAAGTGCTAACAAAGTGTGAACACTGCTGGGGCTGAGCCACTCTGTTTCATGTTCAGCTCTGAGGATCGGCTCCTGAGTCAAGATACATTTTATACTAGAAAGCGCCTGAAAGAATATTATTAAGGATCTTTTTCTGATATAGATTCATATAATCACATAGTAAATAATAAAACTGATGTTTTCCATTACATGAGACCAAGAAAATACAATTTTAAACGTTTAATAACTGAAGTAATCCATTCATTTGGATAGAATATATATCATCACCCAGAGCTCATACCTCTGTAAAATCCTCTACATTGATTATTTTAATGACGGACAATGTTTTGTATATTGGTCCACATCTCCAACACAGTAAGCTCATTGATTTTAATGCAGTAGTTTACAGAAAATGGTGAACAAAAAGAGAGCCTTGCGTGCGGATGTTGGTGAAAGTACGTTTCTTCTTAGCTGACAGGTCTACAGTCTGATGAGAGAAATTAATATGCATATTTCTGTCTTTTTACATCGGGCTCCTGGATCTGCAACAAAACACTTGTAGCTTTTCTTAAAAAAATCTGCACATTTTTTAGATAACTTGCAAACACACATACATACCGCCACTGCAGTATGTTGCTGATGACTCATTTATCTGCCATAAGTGAAAAAGGTGAACCTGTTACAGCTTTAAAGCATTTAATTTGTAGCAGTTTTTTAACAGTTATTATGATTTATATATAAAGCATACTGTTTTGACCTCTTTCCCTTTCTCTACTCTGAATGGATGATGAACGTTCACATTATTTACCAAAAATATATCAACTGACGATCCCATTTTTGGGTGTAGTCTGGATAAAAGCCTCCAACAGATGGAAACATTTGTAAAGATACTCCTCTTTTCCCATTGTTCTATGTTACAGATGACAATTGGAGCTGTTAAAGGTTTGCAAACTGTTCGCCAACTAAAATATGACACCCCGCTGTTCGTCACGGCCTTCAATTTCACTCAGAAGTCTAATTTCGCATCTGAAAATATTCCAGCACGTTTGTGTTCGAGTGGCAACATTCTCTGCATGGTTGTTTTGGCGTTAAGGAGATGAGCGGGTGGTGGGGGGTAAAAATGGAGACGAGGGATAAAAGAAATAAGTGACAAGCAGCGAGAGAGCGAGGGAGGGAGCCAAAAAGATTTTACCCATGAACCCTTTCATCCTCTGCACTGACACATACACACGCATGCAAAGAGTGTTGGTGTAGAAGTGGGAGGATAAACAGTGGCGTACAACGATGTCTGATCCCCCCCCGGCCCTAATGATCACATCTACCATCTTTATATCCAACTGATTCTCTGCTAATGAGGTTCTCCGTTCGCTTCTGCTCCTCCTCCGCCTGCTCTGCTTTCTTTTCCTCACGTTTCTCTCTTTCCATATTGCCGTTTTTCTCTCCTTCCATCTTCCATCCAGATTTAGAGATTTTAAGGGTGTCATACAGCCCCCATATTGTTTTACTGCGATTTTCCAATACATTTAAACCTTTCATTTCTTTCTTTGCTTTCTGTTCTGTGTGTTCAATAAACCAAACCTCTTCTTACAAGGTCAAACACACACACACACACACACACACACACCACACACACACACACACACACACACACACACACACACACACATACTCCCACACACACGATC